CGCAGTCGCCACCTCCGTGGCCACACACACCATGCCCCGCCCCACCACGCACACGCTGCCAGTGTTTTCCCTCCAGCAGCCGCAGCCACCTTGCTTTCCACTTTCCCTCCCTCTTCTTTCTATGCTGTCTTCAGTCTTCACTCCTCCCTCCCTCCACATATGCTAATTAACCATCATCTTTGTTGAGTTATTTTGCATACTGGCTCTGATTGGCTGGTTGGGCATGGCTGGTGGGTGTAGTGGAGTGATGGTTAATTTACATATTACTCTATTATTAGGTAGGATATATTTAGAAGCTCTGCCTACTATGAAAATCTTTTCAATAATGTATTCCATGGTGTCACACAAGAGCCCTTGTATAAAAAATATCAAAAAAGGTATTTTTTCAGAAGACTATCATATGATGTCATTTATAAATCCTTATAAAAATAATTGATCAATGAATGTATAACAGCTTCTAAAGTGAGTGAATACACTATGCATTCAAAATTACATGCAAAATGATTTTTAATTCTAAAAACCTAGAACAACCTATACCTGACTCTAACACAGCCACTCCCTTCTACTCAAAGTGTGGTCCACAGACCAGCACCTACAGCATCAATACCACTTTGGAAACTGGTTTGATTCAAAGAATCTCTGGGCCCACCAAGACCTGCATTTGAACTATAATCCTAGTAACTTGTATGCACATTGAAGTTGGAAAAGAGCTGGTCTAGACTAGATTTTCTCACCTTCTCATGCTGGCATTCATTAGGGCAGGATAATTATTACTGGAGGGTGGTATAGGTGTTGAGCAACCTTCCTCCAGGCATTGCCAAATATTTTTAGGAGCAAAATCATCTCGGGTAGAGAACCACTGGCCCAGAGTTGGAAAATTGGAAGCAACCTGACAGATTCCAATCAAGGCCCATCCCTTGTTTAGCTCATAACTTTGAGCAAGTCAATAAAGTCCTTAAAACTCAATTTTTGTAATGGGAATGGAATTCATAATAGAATGGGCATTTGAAAAATTAAATCAGGCAAACTCTATAAGGTACTAAACTCAGATTATATGGCATAAAACTTTCAAAATGTATCTCATACTTAACAAATATTTTATAATGAGGTACTAAATGACAGCTATTCACTTGTGAAATTAGTACAAAATTCCTTATTATTTTGACAAGTGTGTCAGAAAGCCAAAGAGTGTGAAGCCCAGGATTCCATAAAAAAAGGAACTCAGTCCTTTTGTTGGAGAGAAGAGCAATTCTCTAGAGAAATCAGGGCTGTGTCCCCACCACAGATCACTCCTTGAGCATCAGAAGGCCCTAGTCCTGATGGGCTCCATAATCTCAGACATGGAAGAAAATGGTCAATCAGTGTTGGAATAAGGTAGTAAAAGGTTAGATGTCTGGAAAGCATGTAAGATCAAGACAAGGCATCATAAAAACTAAACTCACTTGATTTTTAACTGGACTCTTGGGATCAGAGAATCATTAGGAAAATTCCTTTCTGTTTATTCCAGAGGCCTAGAGGGAAATCATGTGCTTAGATGTTTAAAAGACACAAGGGAAATGTGCCGGATGAGCAGATATAGAGAGAGCTGTAAATATCTACCCGTGTAATCCTCAGCTTGTACAACGCTGGGGGACAGGACATGGTTGCTGATTTTGATTCCTAAGCTGGCTCAGGAACTGATGCTTCTTTATTTCTTCCTGCTGTCTCATGAGGGGTAAAGCTTCAGTCTCATCATCAAACATCCAGGGACCAATTCAGACTTCCTCTCAGAGACCCATCCAGGTGAGTCTGGTAATGCAACAGGTACATCATGAAAGGGTCAGGAGGATGGAACCTGTCAGTTTTTACCTGAGTCACTGTGACCCTAATCAACCCAGCCCATAGACCTTATGTCTTTGTTTGTATTCTTGGGTAAGTAAAGTAACTCACCTATACTCAATTTACTTAATATGTTAATATGTATGTATCTCTTTGAATCTGCAATATATGGCCTATAGTGGACAATTGGGTGGTGCGAATGGGAGTCCAGTTGGATGACATTGTAGAATGAGTGGGATGCATAATGGCTGTAGGGAAATGAAAACATATTGAGGAGCTTTGCAATTCAGGGAGAAGGAGACAGAGTGTTAGGTGTGGAGAACAATGCAGTGAAGTGAGAGTGTTTTTATTAAATTTCTAAGACAAGGTGTATTTGAAATTGCTTTGTGTTCTTTGAAAATATTCCAACTAATGAATGTAGATATGAGTAGCTTAAAACAGCAATTAGTGAGGCATACATTGCAGTCTCTTCTCTCATGCTGGCATTCACATGAAAAATATTTAATACATCTAATGAGGAATACTAAATAGTTCTCCTTCATCACTCGTGAGGCTGCATATATGTTGGGGTTTTGTACTCTTTTACTTTCTATATTGTACAGTGAGTGGAAATTCCTGTCCCACACTAAGCCTTTTCCTGCAGTGGTCATTTTTCCATACTTTGAATGAGAAATTCTGCCATGCAATTGGGGAATATAAATTGAGGACTGACTATCTTCTAGCCCAAGAGTATAGTGTGCTGAAACACAATATTTCTTACAGTTCAGTGATAGAGAAATTAAGGCCACAATTGTACCTTAAGTCTTAATGATACAAAGGCACATAGTTCACAACAGTTTACATCTATGTAATGAGGACTTCACTGTTCCAACTAATGGGATGGAATATCTCCAAAAGTTTAAAATTTTCTTCTTTACTTCAAGCGGGATTTCATTGTAAAATCCCCTTACTCAAGGAACCTAAAGAATAGAGAGACTTAAACTCAGTTCCATCAAATGTATTTTACTGAATAAATTGCTCCATGAGATTTCCATTGCTGCTATAAAACAACATTGCTGCAGTCTTTGCTGAAAGTGAACATACAAGCCTAGGTGCCAGAAGCCTGAAATGACTCTCTTATCAAGATTGTGCTGGACTGGGATCCTTCTAGAGGCTCATGGGAGAATCTGTCTTCTTCCCAGTTCCAGTTTGCATTGTAGGGGTGTCGAACTCAATCAGAGAAGGGGCCAAAATCTAAAATCCAGCCTAAATCGCGGGCCGAATGGTTTACTGAACAGTCATAAACTGTCATTGTGATGGAAACGCAGTGGAGTGCAGTGATGACAGCGCGGTGCGGGCCACATTGCAAGGCCTGGTGGGACGGATTTGGCCCGCGGGCCTTGTGTTTGACACATGTGTTCTAGAGGCTCATGGGAGAATCTGTCTTCTTCCCAGTTCCAGTTTGCATTGTTAAGCACTTGCATTCTTTGACGCAGGTCCATTCCTCCTTCATTAAAACCAATAGTGTAGCCCTAGCTGGTTTGGCTCAGTGAATAGAATGTCAACCTGTGGATTGAAGGGTCCCGAGTTCGATTCCAGTCAAAGGCACATGCTGGGGTTGGGGACTTGATTCCTAGTAGGTTGCTTGCTGGAGGCAGCCAATCATTGATTCACTCTCATTATTGATTCTTTTTCTCAGTATCCCTTTCTCTCTGAAATCAATAAAAATATATTTAAAACAAAAGAAAACCAATAGTGTACATTTTCATCTTGTCTATCCTTTTGCATCTAGGGTTGTTTACCTTAGTTCCACCTGCATGGTCTAAGCTCATCTTCTATTTTAAAGTCAATCAATTAGTGTCCTGGCTGGTTTGGCTCAGAGGATAGACCTTTGGGCAGTGGATTAAAGGGTCCCGGTTGAGTTTCAGTCAAGAGCACATACCCTGCATATGCTGGGGAATTGTAGTGTCACAGAGAGGTCAATTTGGGGGAAATGAGACATAAGTACAATAATACTTTAAACAATAAAGATTTAAAGAAAACATGCCCTAGTTCTGAGTTTGAACCCAATTGGGGGCGTAACAGGAGACAGCTGATCAGTGACTCTCTCTCATCATTGATGTTTCTAGTTCTCTCTCTTCCCTCTTCCTTCCTCTCTGAAACCAATGAAAATATATGTTTTAAAAATAAAATAAAGTCAGCCAATTAACAACACTGTTCCATCTGCTACCTTGAGTTTCCCTTGCTATAAAAAAAATAATATATTTAAAGTACTGGGAATTAGAATGTGGACACCTTTGAGAGATTCTTATTTTACCTGCTACAAATCATTTTTCAGTATTATTTTATGTCACTGAAGGGCCCTTATAAAGAAAAAAGTAAACAATCATAACCTCTAGAATGAGTGAATAACTATTCTTTTAAAACTCCATGTAAAGTCAATAATTGGATCATAAGACCTAAAACTTACTGCAGCTGACACAGAACCAGCCTTTCCACTCAGAGAGGGGTCCTCAGGCAAGGACGTGCAGCATCATACCACCAGGGAGCTTGTTGGAAATGCAGAGTCTCTGAGCCCTCCAGGCCTGCTGCATCAAATTCTGCATTTGAGCCAGAATCCTCAAATGCATAGGAACAATGAAATTGAAGAAGTGCTGACCTAAACTAGTTGTTTTCACCTTTTACCATTGACATTTGGAGAGGAATAATAATTGAGGGGGCTGCTGCTTTTTTGTGAATTGTAGGTATTTAGTGGCATCCCTTCATACATTGCCAGACACTTCAGGGTAAAATCATTTCTGATTGAGACAGATTGACTAAATTATACTCAAGGCCCATCACATACTCTGATATTAACTTTGAACAGATTTCTCACCGTTTGTAATGTTAGTTTCATATATTTCTATTATTTGCTTCTATATTCTTTCCTCAAATTGAGGTGTAGGGACTTTTGCTCTTTAGCACCCTCTACTCACAACCCCGACAGTGCTGAAAACATGGTCAGCACTCAGTTCATATTCCTGGAATGCATGAAAAATTTCCCATTAAAACATAGTCCTAGATGCAACCAAATCCAGACCAAAATACTGAAGCTACAATGACTGCAGGAGACACATGTAGCATTAGAGCTACTTGAGTAACTCTAGGATTGTATAGAAAGTCCTCATATCCTTTTCTTCTTTCTTGGAAGTCACTCCCACCTCATGGAACCAGGGAATCTTACAGGAGGGTCAGAATTTCTTCTCCTGGGATTTTCAGAGGAACCAGAACTGCAGCCCCTCATATTTGGGCTTTTCCTCTCCATGTACCTGGTCACTGTGTTGGGAAACCTGCTCATCATCCTGGCTGTCAGCTCAGACTCCCACCTCCACACGCCCATGTACTTCTTCCTCTGCAACCTGTCCTCGGTAGACATCTGTGTCATCTCCACCACCATCCCAAAGATGTTGGTAAACATCCTGACACAGAGCAGAGTCATCACCTATGCAGGCTGCATCACCCAGATTTATTTTTTCTCGCTCTTTGCAGTGTTGGATGACTTCCTCTTGACCGTGATGGCTTATGATCGCTTTGTGGCCATCTGCCATCCCCTGCACTACATGGTCGTCATGAACCCCCGGCTCTGTGGGCTGCTGGTTCCGGTGTCATGGATCACAAGTATTCTACATTCCTTGTTAGAAAGTTTACTGTTACTGCTACTAACTTTCTGTACAGAATTGGAAATCCCCCACTTTTTCTGTGAACTCAGTCAGATGGCACAACTTGCCTGTTCTGACAACTTTCTTAATAACATGGTGATGTATTTTTTAACTGTGCTATTGGGTGGTGGTCCCCTCGTTGGTATCATTTACTCTTACTCTAAGATAGTGTCCTCCATCTGTGCAATCCCATCAGCTCAGGGGAAGTATAAGGCTTTTTCTACCTGTGCATCTCACCTCTCAGTTGTGTCCTTATTTTATTGTTCAAGCATAGGAGTGTACCTAGGCTCTGCTGCTTCCCAAAGCTCACACTCAAGTGCAGCAGCCTCAGCATTGTATACTGTGGTCACACCCATGCTGAACCCCTTCACCTACAGTCTCAGGAACAAGGACATAAAAGGAGCCCTGAAACGTTCTTTGGGATGGCAGCTATAAAAAAAGAGCTCTGCTGAGTCTGAAGATAGTGCACTTGATTTTATCCGTCAAGACTGGAAACCAGAAATTAAGATTCTTTAATCAGATTGTGTTTGTACAACTTGCTTCTTTTATTTATTTCCCAGAATTTCTTTTATTTGAGTTCAACTTCTTAATACAATTTAAGTAACCATTTTATTACACTTTCTGCTATGTCTATTATACAGACAGTTTTTCCCAGGTCCTAAACTCACATCATTTTCTTCCCCCAACCTTGATTAGAATGTTAATTTCAGTGTATTCATGAACAACGTGGATTTCATAAGATTAATTTATTCTCAAATAGCATATATCATTGTAAGAAAGTTGTTCTTATTCTATAGATAGAATAGTCATAAGTTGTATTATTCACTGGGAAAAACTTTGCTTGGTTACTCACACTACTTATATAATTTAATTACAGAAAAATCTGACTCCTTAATTTTAACTTTTATGTGTCTCATTATTTGTACATCAGTACTCTAACTGCTCTTCCTGATACTGTTGACTTTATTATTGTTCCTTATAAGTCTCAGCCTAATGAAGGTAATGTTATAGGCTGAAAATGCCTGGACACTAGCCTTGGGCCCTGTTACTTGTTCTTAGACCACAGTCAATATTGTGGCTGGACAGGCTCTTGTGGTCCTTATTAAAATTGCAACAATCATGAGGGATCTATTCAATCACAAGGTTTATTACTTACAGGTCCTGGAGGATACATAACATCCTAAGGGTCCCATCATAAGGTCTCAGAATGTGGGAAGGGATGGAGAAGAGAAAGAGAGCGAGAATAGGTTGAGTTGTGAGGAGAGACCTGGGTGCTTCTCTAGTAGCCTTGTCACAAAGCTGGCAATAGGGTTATTTGAGACTAGAGGCCAGGTGCAGAATTCATGTACCAGTCGGGTCCGTCAGCCAAGTCTGTGGGATCAGGCCAAAACCAGCTCTCCGACATCCCCCAAAGGGTCCTAGAATGTGAGAGGGTGCAGGTCAGGCCAAGGGACCCCACCAAAACACGATCATGGTCAGGGAGGGATGCGGGAGGTTGGTCAGCTGAAGAGGGATGGTGGGAGGGCTCCAGGGCATCAGTCCTTTAACTGCTTTTTTAGTCCATCTTGCTCAGTCCCAATTGGCCAGACCCCAGCAGCAAGAAAACCTACTAGTCGGAGCGTCTGCCCATTGTGGTCAATGCACATCATAGTGAGCAGTTGAGTGGCCTTAGCATATCATTAGCATATTTTGCTATGATTGGTGAATGGATGACCGGACACATGACATATTAGGCTTTTATTATATAGGATAGATGTCTTTGAAACTAATGCCTCATACATCAAAAGTTTAATGTCAGGTATTTACACGAATATCATGCTATTAGGACTTATAACTAATCTCTTAGTTTTATTATCTTATTCAACTCAGTGTCCAGAATACCTAGAATGCTACCTGGGAAGATTGATTATCAAGTATATATGTCAAAGTGGTTTCTATACGGATATGAGGCAGGAGAGAAAGAAATCAAAACCCTGACATCTGGGCATGATCAAAGAGAAAACAGTTTATGGCAGGAAACCCCCTGCAGTGGTTAGAGGTCACAACAAGGACTGGCTAGAACCAGATCATTCCAAGATGGAAGAAAATTGACAAAAGATTGAAACTAAAGCTCATTATATCATCATTACAATGAAAACTCACACCACAAATAGAAACGTGGCCAAGGAGGACAAACTCTATGACACTTTCAGAAAAACCCTCTTAGGAACGAAGTCCCCTGCCACCCAAAAGGCAGAGTCAGAATTTGGTGCCATAGTGCTTGTAGACACCCCCTTCCCCCTTCCACCTTAAACTCACATAAAATCCCAGTAACCAACTGACCACTGGTGCAACTCACTCTAGAGTTGGTCCACTCATGTGGGTACTTTTCTTCTATAGTGGCACCCACGCCCAGGCCTCTTTCTTTGTCTTTACCTGAATAAAACTTGCTTTGATTCATCCTTGAAATCTTTCCTGGATGAGTCAAGGATCTGAAGTTCACCTGATACTCGAAAGTTCTGGATTGTGCTGGGACAGGGACAGTCCCCAGCACACAAGCAGTCCAGTAACACATGCATACATGAGAGGTACAGAGACAAGGGAAATGAGGCATATATGACATTCTGAGCTAAAGAGAGGTATTGAAGATACTACCCAATCCCCATTGAGTACACTGGCTCCTTCTCCCTAAATTAATGACCTTATGTGCATGGGTGTAGGGAGTGGTTATAGGGGTAAGCCTCAGATTGACCTGCTAGCAAAGCTTCAAACAAGTTTCAATTTAGAGGGCATAGCCCTCTTAGCATAATTAAGCTTGACCGTATAACCCTCCTTAGATCTTTCCTGGGTAGGTAATGGACTGTGGAAAGTGCAGCAAGTGCTGCCAAAACAAGTGAAATTCACAAGAACATTGTAACTATGGTGACCACTACCTTTGACTACAAAATAAAGACTTAACTTGCAGCCTGAATCTGTTCTGTGGCCTCAGTCAGGCACAGAAGATCCACCTAGACCCAGCTCATTCTCTTTGTCTTTTCTTTATCCTTAGCCAGACCTCCCTCAGGCTCACCAAACCTTGGCTGTGCTGGTGTGGCACACATGGGTTTATTTCTTGGCTCCCTGTTCTGTTGCTTTGATCTGTGAGTCTGTTTTTATGCCAGTACTGTACTGCTTTAATTACTATAGTTTTATATGTAGCTTGAAATCTGTGAGCATGATGGTTCTAGCTTATTTTTACTTTCTCAAGAATGCTTTAGCTATTCAGGATTTTTTTGTAGTGCCCTATAAGTTTAAGAACTGTTTGCTTTATTTCTGTGAAAAAATGAAATTAGAATTTTGATAGAGATTGCATTTAATCTATAGATTGCTTTTGTGTGTTTTTTTTTAATTCAATCTAATAAATTTGAAGAACTAATTCACTTTATTGAGTGATTCATGAATCAAACAGCATCCTACCTAACAAGTAAGACTAATTTCTGAAGGTTTGTACAAGAGTAGAAGTTTTTTACAGGGGGAAAAATGGGTAGCATAAGAAAGCTCTTAGTAACAGAAAACAAAGAATTGGGGGGGGGGGGGCGGGTTGACATCTTTTTTTGGGGAGAGGAGAACAAGAAGGTTTTATCATGCAGATTTCTTCTTCTTTCAACAGGGATGAAAAGGGCCCATGTGACAGACTATCTTACTGGTGCTTGACCAAAAGATTCCAACCTGGCTGATTAAAATTGTATTTCTGGGAGATATAAAACTTCCATTAGATCCAGTATTAAATCTAGGTTTGGCATTCTGGACTTTTAGCATGAGTAATGCCAATATTAATTCTTCCAATCAGTGGCCAGAGTATACCTTTCCATTTTTGCATTTTCTTCAATAACATTAATCAATATGTTATAGTTTTCAGTGTACAGGTCTTTTACTTCCTAGGTTATGGTTACTCCTAGTATTTTATTCTTTTTGTTGCAGTTGTAAGTGGATTATTTTCTTAATTTCTCTCTCAGACAGTTTGTTATTAGACACCATAGATTTCTGTAAATTCATTTTATGTCCCACAATGTTGCTGAAATTCATTTTTTGGTTCTAACAAATTGTTTTTATTTTAAATAACTTATTGAATTAATGAATGAAATAAACTGAATGTATTTATTATTTCTTGAAATACATTTTCTATGTCTTCCTCAGTTTCCTTTCCTTCTGGAAGCCCTATTATTCTAATATGTTTTGTTTTGTATTGCCCCAAAGTTCCCTTAGGCTCTCCTCCTGCTTTAAAAATTTTTTTTTCCAAAAGCTGCTCTAATTGGATACTTTTTCCCATCTTGTCTTCTACCTCACTGATGCAGTCCTCTGCTTCTTCTAGTCTACTCTTGATCCTTTCTATTGAGTTCTTCATAATAGCAATGTTGTTTTTCATTTCTTCTTGGTTCATCTTCATTTTCTCTTGGTTCTTCTTCAATTCCTCTTGGTTCTTCTTCATTTCCTCTTGGTTCTTATTCATATCGTCAAATTTCTCTTCCATTCTTTTTAGCCATCCTAGGATCATTATTCTGAATTCTTGCTCTGGTAGGTTGCTTGCCTCTAAATCATTTACTTCCTTTTCTGGTGATGCCTCCTTTTCTTTCATGTGTGGGCTATTTATTTGTCTCCCCATGGTCTCTCTTTTCAGGATGTCTGGTTATGTGGTATTCCTTCTCCTGCATTGATTTAAAGGCACAAAATACAACACTACCCAGTACAACACAAAAGGCACTGAACAGGAATGTATTTGCCATATTAATAACCTCTAATAAAGGTGACCACTAGAGAAAGGCGAATTAGGGGATAGGAGAGAAAGAAGAAAGGAAAAAAAGGAAAGAGGAATAAATAAAAGATAGAAAAAGCAGGGGAAAAAATTAATGTCAAAATGAAGTTGGGAAACAGTAGAGAGAGAGAGAGAGAGAGAGAGAGAGAGAGAGAGAGAGAGAGAGAGAGAGAGAGAGAGAGAGAGAGAGAGAAGAGAGAGAAGAAGAAGAAGAAGAAGAAGAAGAAGAAGACGAAGAAACTATATATATATATATATATATATATATATATATATATATATATATATATGGAGAAAATTCCCATAGAACAACCACTAATCCCAGCAAATGCCAGAAACAATACTTGAAGATTAATACAAACTACAATAGCCACTATTATTAAGCAAAGCTATGATAAACAGAAGTAAAAAAACAAAAACAAAGGAATTTAAAAAATACTAAGCAACAATAACAACAAAAGAATAAGCATATCAATTTCACTAAAAAAGCATAAAAATTTACTATAATCAATATTCACGCAAACAACAACAAAAGGATAGAGAGAAGAACAGTGTTTTTATTTGTTTTTTAACTAGTTAATATAGTAAAGAGAGTGGTATTTATGCACTTGGAGCAGGGGGTTGGAAATTAGGTCTATAAGTATGGTGATAGTTTTAGCAGGGG